TCTTTAAATTAATTTATTATTTTTAATATTGTAATTGTATTTGACAATTACCATATTAAACAGATCAGATCCCACTGCAGCCTGAAGGTGGCAGCATCCATATACAGGCTGGAGGCTTATTCTGTCAATGAACCCTCCAGGCTGTATGAGGTCACTATGCCTCACATGACATAATCACATGACCAGGAACCCCTCTGATAGGAACATCAAACGCTGAGAAATAACGTACTGGTGGGGCGGCGCCTGTCTTAAATAACGTGATGTGAATAGAAAGGAGCGTCTTCAATGATCAGCTTGCTTAGTTTTACTAATGTACAGCCCTTCTAACCCCATGTACCTCTATAGAACGTAGGCTTTAGGCCTCATTCACATGAGAAAAGGCCGGCACGTACAGCTCCGTGCTGCGTGCGCGTATCGGGCAGCTCCCGGGAAGGACAGGCGCTGCGTGTGATTAGTACACAGGCCCCGTCCTCCTCTATGGGAGTACACCGCCGTACGCTCACCCGCCCTGCGGGTGTCCGTACTCGTAAGCTGACAGGATATCTCTTGTCTGCGTCTGAGCCGGGACACCCGCACCCGTACGGACCTGCACTTGGGGTGAGCGTACGGCCGCGTACTCCCATAGAGAAGGACGGGGGCTGCGTACTAATCACACGCAGCACCTGTCCTTCCCGGGAGCTGCCCGATACGGCCGCGCACGCAGCACGGAGCTGTACGTGCAGGACGTTTCTCGTGTGCATGAGGCCTTAAGCAGCCATATTGTACACCAGACTCGTATCTATGACGATGTAGGCCAGGGGTAGGGAACGTCTATGACCACTATAGACCATTTCTGCGATTTGGTTCTCCCCAAAATGTTTGCCAAAACGTAACCGTGTAATAGTGACCTTTCCATAACGGTCACACAGCGGCTGGGATTACAAAACCAGTGACCGAGAAGCAAAATGGAAGATCGGCCCTTTGGATAAACGCACCTGGCTGAGCTGAATGAGGAAGGCGTATCCATTCTTCTGAGGACACCAAATCTAACTGAGCACGTGTGAGGTGGGAGGGGTTACAACCTCAAAGGGGCGGGCCTTCAGTTTTCTATTTATTAAAGGTATTTGTATAGCGCCGACTATTTACGCAGATCTTTACATAGTTGCACATTCACATCAGTCCCCGCCCCCGAGGAGCTTACAATGTAAGGTCTCTATCTCACATACTGGAGCCAATTTAGAGAGGAGCCAATTAACCTTGCAGCGTGTCTTTGGAGTGTGCGAGGAAACCGGCGTACCCGGAGGAAACCCATGCAAGCACGGGGAGAAAATGCAAACTCCTTTCAGATGGTGTCCTGGACAGGATTTGCTGCAAGGCAGAAGCGCTAACCACTACGCCACTGTGCTTTCTATGTGTCTAGTGTCCATTTCTCCCGTAGACGGCAGTATAACCCTAGGGTGCTTATTATGATCAAAGTTGCGTCCCTCAATGGACGATAGAGAGAAAACAGATTTTGGCTTACGTTACACTTCAACGCCATGAACATCAACTCCAAAAGCAAACCAGCAGGCAATGGTAAACTGACTCACTCGAATGTTCAGACCTCGTCTTAGGAAGGTCCAAAAAGCAGAGTAGACAACAAGGTCCCAAGGTCACGGAGATAATTAGATCTCCCGCCAACTATGCAGTGCAAGGCTCTAGCCGATCAATACCAGTTGAGTGGACTATTTACACGGGCCCTCAAATTGCACAGTTTTAGCAAAGCTAGATTGACATTGTATTATCAGATTGCGCAGTGTGTGGGCATCTTAGGGAAGCCATTGTGCTGGTGAAGAAGGGACCCCCCTTGTAGATCATTCCAACAGCCATAGTTGGCGCTCTAAAGGTTCTGGGGAGTCGGTTTTTCAGCTTTCTCCCCCCTGCTGGTCTGGGGCCGATTAAAGGAGAACTATGAGGTGAGTTCTTTCCACTCACCTCACTCATAGTTCTAGCCGACCTGTGGCAATGAGACTGTCACAGGTCGGCTCAGTAGATCGGGAAGTGAGCGAACACATACTGGCGTTTGCTCACCTCTCGATCCTGTCACGGCTCTCTGCCGTGACAGGGGAGGGGCTGGATTCCCCCCTCCCCACCCTGATCGGCCAGCGCTGACTGGCGGAACGGATGGGGGAGGGGGCGGGTACAGCTAGCTCTGCCTCTAGATAGGCAGAGCCAGCTGTCAGTCACGCAGCTGGGTGGATCCAGACATAATTGTCGGGATCCACTTCAGCTGCGGCGTCTCAGTATACCGCGAGCTACAGCTTGCGGTATACTGAGCCCAGGGTGACGGGAGGACGCTAGTTTGTGTCCTCCAGTTACCCTAAGGAGAACTATGGGGAAAAGCCTCAACCCCATAGTTCTCCTTTAAACAGATTTTATTTGCACCCCTAAGGGCTGGCCACACTTTACATATCACCCCCAGAATGTTATAAAGCGCGCCACCGACGCGGCACATTAACGGGAAAGCTTATATTGTTAAAATTAAAAATCAGACAGAGTGAGTCACACGAAGCCCACACGAGGGTGATGTCAGCACAACGGAGGCTGAAAATAAAAGGAACAAAAACAATTTAAAAGGTTTTACTTTGTTTCAATTATAGGATCCTCCTCCTCATCAGCAGATCCGCCTGCTCTTCATTAATCATCATCGTTTGATGATAAAGTTAATAATAAATATCAGAGTAATGAATATTCATTACGCCAGGAATATGTCTTAAAGGGAAAGTCATTGTCCCGTTGAGTTGCCTTATAGGGCAAAACGTTTGTGGACCCCCCTCTGAATGCTTGGTCTCAGTTGTGTCCAGTGAAGAGTTATGGTAATCCTCCATCATACAAAGACATTGCAGACAATAGTGATCTTCCAGCCTTGTGGTCACCGTTTGGTGAAGACCCTTTTCTGTTCCACCATGACTGACCCGTGTACAAAGCCAGCTCCATAAAGACATGGTGTGACCAGTTTGGTGGAGGAACCTGGGTGTCCTGCACAGAGTCCTGACCTCAACCCTACTGAACACCTTTGGGATGAAATGGAATGCAATTGTGGACTAGATCTCATCCAACATCAGTACCTGACCTCCCAAATGGGACAAATTCCCACAGACACCCTTCCAGGATCTTGTGGAAGCCTTCCCAGAAGAGTGGAGGATGGCACAGCCGCGAAGTCCGGGGGACATATACTTATGTTCATGATTTTGGAATAGGATGTCCAACAAGCTCAAACAGGTGTGATGGTAAGGGGTGCATGAACGTCTGGCCATATAGTGTATATATGAAAGTGTTTATAATAGATATCTCCACTGAATCTAAGAGACATACTAAACTTTTATTTTACTTTGCATCCAATCAGGAAGTCCTCTGAATTGAAGATCTGCTGGTAGGTCTAAGGAGGTTGTTAAATCCTCTTAAACTTTAATCTTGGCAAGGGTTCAATAGTTTGTTTTTCTCATAAGCTCTTCTTACCTTCTTCGCTCAGGCTGAGGTTCTGCAGAGACTTGTTCAAGTTTCGCGGTGTGGTAACCGCTCGGATATTGCCATAAGAACTCACAGATCGTAAGCGAGGGGTGCTGGGAGCTTCCCGCACTGGGGTCAGGTTGCCGGCCTCTAAAATGTTAGAAGTAGGTTAGCATCGTGCTATGTGCAGGTCATGTGGGATCCTGTAAAATGCTTAGCCAGCAGCCGGCGCACTCACCTGTAGAGGATGGAGATGGCAAATGGTAATTCTTCTCCTCCTCCATGAACTGCAGAGCCACCGTACAGAAATTGCTCTCATACTGGACCACGAAATGACTGAGAGCCACCACCAGCTCCTGAGGGGACACAATACAATAATCAAATAGATCTCATTCATCCACGTGTCTGAAATAAGAGACGTTTGTGTTGCCCCCTCAGCAACCAGTCTATACTCCACAACAACCCTCAGCACCCAGTCTATACTCCACAACAACCAATCTACCCCCTCAGCAACCAGTCTATACTCCACAACTAATCTACCCCCCTCAGAAACCAGTCTATACTCCACAACAACCCTCAGAAACCAGTCTATACTCCACAACAACCCTCAGCAACCAGTCTATACTCCACAACAACCCTCAGCAACCAGTCTGTACTCCACAACAACTAATCTACCCCCCTCAGCACCCAGTCTATACTCCACAACAACTAATCTACCCCCCTCAGCACCCAGTCTATACTCCAGCAAACTTTCCAGTACAAAGTTTGAATTTGAAGAAGTTGCTACAAGAAGGCAAAACAGTTGTTGTTTTTTTTGCATTCTTTAGGTCTTTCAGGCAATTGGCTAATGACGGCGGCAAAGGACCCGGGAATGCAGTATTTGCACTGTGCAGAGCTGACTAGTGGTTTTGCTATCCTTGCTTTTTCCATGGTTTGTACTTGTTCCGGGTCAGTGACTGAAAGTACTGAAAACCCAATTCTAGGCCATGTAACATTTCCAGAAACGTTTGCCTTCCTTCCTACTTCCTTAGTAGAGGTTTTCTTCAAAAGGAACCTAAAAATTGAAATATGGGAGCTTGGCACTGAAGGCCTATTGTGCCGGGATGTAGACCTTCCTTCACTAGATGGCGAGTCAATGACCAGGAAGAAGTATCTGTAGCATATTTCCCAGAAAACATCTAGAAGCCTCCATGTGGCTGCATTATACTCTATTCATATAAAAAGCTCAATCTCAGCAGATGAAAAATGACGGTTTATACGGACCCGGTTTTATTATGTACTTGTGTGCCTTTGTAACCATCATAAAACGGCAACTGGTGCTAGTTAAAGTGAATGGCCACGCATTACCCACGATAACTCCCAAACCTCCTTCCCTTCAGGGTCACGTACCAAAATGTTTTCTTTATCTTGTTTCTGTATCGAGAAACAGCTTTACGATTACTCCTAATGACATCATCACCGGGCCTGTTAAATTCTTGCAGGGGCAGCTGCTAGGAGGTCAGTTCCTACTGACACAGGCGCACCCCCAGAACTACATCTCCCCTACATAGTGAATGGCAGGCTCTGGGGAGTCAAGGCAGCAGTACTGCTTTGCTGGGAAAGAAATCAATGTATGTATGTGACAGAGAGGGGTGAGGTGATGGGCAGAGTTCTGTAGTCCACAACAGGGGTGACAACACTTCTTGGGCTTTCAGTGCAGCAGTGTCACTTTACTGTCAGCTTCTACAGGAAGTTAGGAGCTCACCGTATTTCTGGCAGATCGACGGGTACATGATGGAGAAACGTACACATACTGGAGAGATGTGCTGAATATAGATTTTTCTCTTAGTACCGCCTTCAAACGATATATCCATACAACTATATATTAATGTTATACAAGAATACTGGCAGTGATGGAACATATTGTAGATGGACACGATTGTCATATGTACATATTATATACGTACAGTCCAGTGCCACGAGCAGAACGCACTCACCTTGCGCACCATTGCGCTGCCATCATTGATGAGCTGGGCCAGCATCATAGCCACGTTGTGGTCGATTGTTGTGGAATGATCCGTCCTCTCCCCCGAGTTTCCCACAAACGTCCCGAGGGCAAAGACAGCCGCCGTGCGGACCTGGAAGAGGAGAGCTCGGTATTTACTGTGCCGGATAACGAGGACTCGTTATGGAAAATGTCCTCAAGAGGTTTTGACTACTCAGTGACTAAGACCACCATCCCGAACCTCCTACACCTTTCTCCCCCACCCCGCTCGGCTGCTCGCCTCAGTCCCAGGATGCAGTGCATGAGTCAGGGTGGCCAGGCCGGCACACTATGCTCTGTGTGGGAGAAGTCACCAACCCTGTGAACGCTCGAACACCATCCAATGTAAAGTTTTAAATCTGAGCTCTGATGGAGAAATGGAGAGGTGGGGGAGGTGCAGATAAGTGGCTTTGCAACAAAAAGAGCGGTCACTTTGCACCGAATGGGCACTGCAACAGTCTTTAAAGAGATCCGATCAGAAGATCATATATATGACCCAGCAGAGGCTCCAATTCTGCACAGGACAAGGCCATAATCTCATGTCCAGGACTGCTGCCAGCTCCAGGGCAGAGGTGCAACTTGCCCAGAACCAGCACCGCTACTTAGAACTGGCTTATGGAAGCCTCAGCTAAACTAGATGAGCCTCATTTGCAGCGCGCTCCAATTAAAAACAACCGCTGCTCCATAGTAACTGATGAGAAGCACAGACAGTTCTTATTTAAGGGGACCTGTCAGGATAGAGACCTGGAACAGCATTCTGAGATACAATGGGCACCTCTACTAAGCATAGGCTTCTCTTTAACGTAAGGTGTTAGGATGCCCGGAGGCAGACCGCAAAGGTTTCTACTCACCTCTGGAATGGAGTCCGACAAGAGGCTGTAAAGCTTTTCATGGGCGCTGTCGCGAACGCCACACCAGCGTGCGGCATCGAAGTTCTGCCAGATACGGCCTAGGCAGACAGCCACCCACTGGCGGAGCAGCGGGTGAGGATCATTGAGCTGCTCCAGGCAGATGGCGATCAGGTTTCCCTGCAGACAGGCTTCCTGTGGGATGAAAAGAAATATGGGCATGAGCTGCAAGAGTGACAGTGGCAGCACTTCAGTCCGTGCGAGGGGCCCTTCCACCCAAACAATCTCTCAATCAGAGTTTAATTTACTCCATAGGGAGCAAGATCACTGTAACATCCTGCAGGCAACACGTACTCTCCCGAAATGTTCTGTGTTTCTCAATAAACACCGTCCCGGCCACTGAATCCAACTGGTTTAAGGATTCATTCTAGTCACTAAAGGTTTGTTGCCGTTGGACATTCCCTGATAAATGAAGATGCGGCTGGAACCTGAAGAGCAGCAGAGGAGCTCACCTGTCCGGTGGTGTAGTTATTCACAATTACTGCCAGAATAAACGCCGTCATCGTGCGGTGCTCGGCCTGCAAGAGAGAGAAAGCCAAGAGGACGAATAAAACACTAAGAAATGAAGCTTCAGAATTGCAGCACTGGGGCCCTCGGTTCGAATCACGGCCAGGACACTTATCTGCATGGAGTTTGCATGTTCTCCCCTGTGTGGTTTCTTCCCTCACTCTAAAGCAGGGGTAGCAAACCTCCGGCCCTCCAGCTGTGGTGGAACTACAAATCCCACGAGACATTGCAAGATTCTCACAGCCACGACTCCCGAAGAGAGATGCATCATGGGATTTGTAGTTTCACCCACAGCTGGAGGGCCGGAGGTTTGCTACCCCTGCTCTAAAGACATGCTGGCAGGTTAATTGGCTCTTGCCTAAGCGGACACTAGTGTCTCTATGTATGTATATGAGATAGAGACCTCAGATTATAAACTGCTTGAGGGACTGATGCGAGTGTACAGCATGTAATGCGCCTTGTAAATCTCCGGGGCCATGTAAATACCTGAAATAAATCCAAAATCAGAATAATAAGCTAAAAAAGAACATTCCATCGGTCATATTAACTACCCATCATCCTCTGCACTGAACATAATAAAAAGGAGACGTGAGTGACTCTCAGTTCCCACCCCACCTTCTTGTGCCGATTATACAGATCACCCATATCGTGCGGTAGGCGAGGAGCTTAGTCGGCAAACAACCTCCAGTCATGTTTCAGGAGTCAGGGCTCATGGCTCCCCTAGTAAAGCAGCGAGGGATCCTAAGAGAAGAACCGGCCACAAGGGAACAGAATCGATTGTACAACTAGGCCATGCCCCTTATAACCGCTAGAAAGATATTAAAATCCTTCAGAAATAGAGCTGCAGGTAAAACAGGTAAATACGTATAACGTTCTCTGTATAATACGTTCTCTGTTCTACCTGCATGTTGTTGTCAGAGAAAAAGTAAAGACGGGCATAGAACTTCAGCTGCCTTCATCTCTGGAGATGCTGAAGGCAACATCTACGTGCGTATTGTTTCCTCATATGCTCAGTCTGAATTTGGTTTATGACAGGTTCACTTTAAAAAAAAAAGTGTGCTAAAAGGATGATGATAATCTTACCGGCATGTACGGATCCGCCAAAACGGACAGGAAATACTTGTGCCCGTTATCTTTCACCAAGTCTGCCTGGCATGACTGCAGGTAAAGGAGGAAAGAAAAGAGAATTATTCATTAGAATAGGTTTTGATTGTGGTGACACTTCTGGGGTCTGTCTGTGATGCGTACACTATTTAGCCAAACGTTTATGAACACCGGACCAATACACATTCCTATATGTGAACACTACTCCAGGTGACTGAGATTAGGTGTCTCCAGTGAAGGTTCTGGTAATACTCCATCATACAAAGACATTGTAGACAATTGTGCTCTTCCAGCCTTGTGGTCACAGTTTGAAGACCCTTTTCGGTTCCACCATGACTGTCCCCCGTGTACAAAGACAGCTCCATAAAGACATGGTGTGACCAGCTTGGTGTGGAGGAAATTGAGTGTCCTGCACAGAGCCCTGACCTCAACCCTACTGAATGCCAATTGTGAGCCAGGTCTTCTCATCCAACACCAGGACCTGACCTCAACCCTACTGAATGCCAATTGTGAGCCAGGTCTTCTTATCCAACACCAGGACCTGACCTCAACCCTACTGAATGCCAATTGTGACCCTGGTCTTATGTAACACCAGGATCCAACCTCAGGCCTACTGAACACCAACTGTGACCCAGGTCTTCTCATCCATCAGTACCTGACCTCACAAATTGGACATAAATTCCCAGACACCCTCCAAAATCTTGTGGAAAGTCTTCTTAGAACAGTGGAGGATGTCATAACCACAAAGGAGGCACAACTCCATATTAATGGCCATGGCGTTGGAATGGGATGTCCAACATGCTCATAGAGGTGCGATGGTCGAGGTCCACAAACTTTTGGCCATTGAGTGTATTTCTAGGTCAGGCGCAGACAGAATTAAGTACACAGCTACCGAGTGAACCTTTGAACAGCCATGCCAGACCTAGGTCTCTATGGCTTGGCTGCCAGGAAACTTCCACTTACACTGTCCACTGCAAGGATTTTGGCCCAAATGAAGACGAGTAGTGGACGAAGCTCCCGTGCCGAGCTCTGCAGAAGTTTCAGGACGTAGGGGAAAATTCCCACCGACAGAGCCTGCGAGAAAGAAAGACAAGACTGACAAAAGCCGACCCAGGAAAACATGTCTCTGCTATGCTTCACAGGACGTTCCATCCCACAGGAGGAACTTATATGTGATTGGACATGGGGTATGCAACTCTCATTCTGTTCTTTCATTAAAAGTGACCAGGTGGAAAAGGGGGACAATAAATTAAAGATCTGTCGATGTGGATCCAGCATTTGTTGATGTGAAATCTATTATAAATACATTGGAGGCATTTCTCATGTGACAAGAAACAATACCGGCGCCTCCACGTGCAATATCGGCCAGTTGAAATGGTAAAGAACACACTGAAGAGGCAGCTCCCACATTTTTTTTAATCGCTCAATCGATTAATTATAACGTACATACAGATCCAACTACATTGGCCTATACACATACAGCACAGCAATGAAGTAATAAAATGAACTAGGATCACACTAATCCAGCACGTTATTATTCTGAGTTGCTCCACTCAATATGGCCGCCGCTTGAGAGGCTCAGAATAATAACGTGCTGGATGAGTGTGATCCTAGTTCATTGTATGACTTCATTGCTGTGCTGTATGTGTATAGGCCAATGCCTTGGCTGGCGCTCGTGCAGAAAGTTTCTGGGCAAACTCACCGGCCCAAGTGGCTCCATCGGCTAACGAAGGGGGGAGGAGTCTGGTGAAGTCACCGGACTCCTCCCCCACTCCCTTCGTTAGCCGACAGAGCCACTTGGGGAAGGGGGGAGGAGTCCTGTGACGTCGATGTCCGTGACGCCAACGGATCGCCGACGGGACTCCCGGAAGCCGGCGGAGAGGTGAGTGTTTTCATTAGCGATCAAAATAATTTTAATCGATCAAAAAGTTTAATGATTAATCGAGAAATTAATCTTTAATTTCCGCAGCCCTATGTAAAACGAATTTTTATGATAAAAACGCACAACTGTATTGTACTTACAAGAAGTCGGTAGTAAAAAGGCAGGTGTAGAAAACAATGGGGTGTCAAATCATCTAGCAGCTGAAGTCTGAAAAGATGTGCAGCATCAGCGTCCACTGCCCCTGTGTGGTCTCGGTTTACATGTTTCTGGGGCACGCCCCCTTCCTCTACATGCCTTTTTACTACCGACTTCTTGTAAGTACAATACAGTTGTGCGTTTTTACCATTAAAATTCGTTTTACACTATGGAGGCGCTCCGTTTTGTTTTTTGTCTCTCGCATTTCTCATGCGTCTGAGCAAAGGATCTCATCATGTGCCGTGTATTCTATGGTACTTCTCTATCTGCTGAATCTTCTATGTCGGGTGTTCTTGGGTCTTGTGCCGCTCTACAATTACACAACAGCAAACTATTTCCTCCGCCTTTCATGAGGTATCAATTCTGGTCATCCATCAGCACACGCTCTAAATTAGGTCAGCAGCGCTCAGTCACCAAACACGGGAAGAGGAACAAAGCAAAGAGCCTTACCAGGCTGACGGCCCAGGGTCCCAGGTCCAGGAATCTTCCCAGCAGGTCCAGGGCCCGGAGACGATGAACCTGACTGAGCAACACCTGAGAGAGAGAAACAAGACTCACCAGTCGGCCAAAAACGATTCATTACAGGGAAGAGAAGACATGTTTATACCATATAGGAAGTGCTAATAAAACACGGCATATAATATATTTTGTACAAGGAATTGTGAAGAACCAAAATCTATTACAGAGAAATCTGAGAAGGATAAAAGATTTGAGGAGGAGGAGGGGGTAGGGGGTAGTAAAAGTCCCTGTGCATGATTAATAAGAACTGGAGAAAAGCAGGACTCCATCTTGCTCTCTTGGTCACCATGCTGGTGCTTTACTTCATTATATATATATTATAATTCTGCAGAAGCCTTAAAGTGTATTTCCACTTTGTGGTGAAACTGAGATAACCCCTTCATCATACATGTCCTCATTCACAAAGTATAACTTAAAACATATTTCAGAATTGCTGCTTACTTGCTGAAGAATCCAATAAAATCCTACTTAGCTTTCCCCTTCTATGTAATGTTGAGGGGGTTGGGGAGTCAATGTTTATCAGAATGAACTGTCTGTACTGTGCTGGCAGATCCTATTGATGTAAACTAGATGTGCACACTGTCTGTCCTCACAAAAGGTTCAAGATGTCCAGGCTCGGGTGCTACCGTACATTGGACAGCTATAGGTACGACTCCCAAAGGCATGTTGGGATTTGCAGGTAAAGCTCAGCTGGAGGGCCGAAGTTGCCCACACCTGCTTAAAGGGTTTGGTCCTATAAATGGAGGGAAGCGTCGGTACACAAACTGTCCCCCCCCACCCCCATCCCCCCCTTATCTATTACTCCTCTGAAGAATAACTCTCAGTTCTTGTGATCCGTCATGGAGAGGTTGCGGCTCTGACCTGGAGGACGATCGGCAGTTGCTCCGGTGGGTTTCTGTTCTCCACGCCCATGGTTAGCCAGACCTGAAATGCCGTCAGTTGCTCAGCGAAGAATGGGCTGTGCTGTAAGAAGAACACATGTGGTAAAGTCCAACTCCAGCCCCCCACCCCCACCCCCCTGGAGCACCCCCATGCCTTTATTTATTTCTTGATAATATTTATACATACCTTTTTTCCAAGTGATGTCACGGTTCCTCCCCACCCGCCACATCCATGTCCTGAAAGCTGAAGGGAACAGCACCACGTAATGATAATGCTCTGAGAGCTCAGGGAGGTTTGGTGATGTACCCTCTAGGGGGCGGGTCCTTGACACCCCGGGCTCACAGGAAATAGGTTGAATGACACTGGCCACATTCACACAGAGTGAAAAGTCTCTCACCGGGAGTGGAGGGGGGTGCTTGGGTGAGGGATTGAGTATTTTAGCTGATGTTGCCTTCTTAAAATTTTGTCAGCGGCTGGGCCGGAGTTGGGCTTCAAAGAGACGATGTCACCGTGCCCATATGAGTCAAAGTGACTCTGTTCCCATGAAGGTCCCCCTGATCCACTTATACTCACCCGAGCAGGTCTTACCCGCAGCTGTCCACATTACCCCTCATCCTCTGTGGCAGTGCTCGGGTCTAACAGCCAATTGCTGAGCCTGAGCACTGTCACATGACCGGGGGAGTGACATCACCACTCCCTCAGGTCACTGACAGCAGTCATTTCAGTGCTGGCCCTGGAGGAGAAAGAAGTGGTGACTGAGTGCTGGTAATGAGAGTATAGGAGGGTTCAGGGGAATTGACCTTTTTTGAGTATAGGAGGGGTCAGGGGGATTGACTTTTGCGAGTATAGGAGGGGTCAGGGGGATTGACTGTTGCGAGTATAGGAGGGGTCAGGGAGGTTGACTGTTGCGAGTATAGGAGGGGTCAGGGGGATTGACTGTTGCGAGTATAGGAGGGGTCAGGGAGGTTGACTGTTGCGAGTATAGGAGGGGTCAGGGGGATTGACTGTTGCGAGTATAGGAGGGGTCAGGGGGATTGACTTTTGCGGGTATAGGAGGGGGCCGGGGGGTTGACCA